ACCTTTGTCTATCCATAAACTAGATTTTACCGGTATACATTTTATCTCTCAACTAGCCATTTAGTCATATTATCTACAGCATGTTTACGGATGTTCACAGTAAACTTATATTTTACTGAAATTGAAATGGACGTAGGAAACTGATATAAGTTTCTAAAAGAATTCATAAATCAGTTGTATCTCTTGGAACCCAACTACTTAAAAAATACAATAAATTCCTGTTCAAACTGTATTTATTTTCGACTTATTCATCCAATATTTTATGTTCTTTTGAAGTTAAGTTTGGAGTGCACCAAATATTTTTTTATCAAACAAAAATAGATTTGATGCAGAAAAGAATGAATGGATCCTACCACAAATGGTCATTGAACATACACAATTGCCTTCAGTGAATTCAGATAATTCGTCTAGTCGACATGACTCAAATTACGGAACCACAGATGGTAACGTAGAATATAATGCAATAAAAGATTTGAAATGGGCCGATAAAAAAGAATCTAGACTGTACGCTAAACTAGATGATCGGATACAAAGTAATTATTTCGCGAGCCGACGTGCAGATCAAATATTACGCAATGCAGGTAACTTGATATTATTGTCACTGTAGTTAAAGACCTATCCACACTACATAGCTAACGACCTGGTAGTCTATCAATCCAGTTCCAGTAACCAAAGATTTCCAGCAGATAACATAATTAGGAATAAAGACCCATAAAAATAAGATTTCCTCAAAATAAGCTATCAAATAGCCGCTCATATCTCATGTCCTGTCCTGTTTAACAATAACATGCAAGGCGAAAGTCACATTAAACAAAAGTCTAAGATGTGAACATTACTGTACTAATTGTGGATACTCAAGACTTTTATATGGTTACCATAATTATTGTTTATTAAGTCCCGATGGCTTTCAGTAATCGTTGTTAACATAAATGTCTGTAGTGTAAGTCAGTGAAATCGAAACAAGTTTAAAACATCTCAATAGTTAGAATTTTTGGTAAAAAGACTAATTAGAATATTTATGGTCAACTCAAACATTAATAAAGAATTTAAAAAAAACTTCTAATACTACGACTTCCCGTGGACAATGAGTAATTCAAATGGTATTAAGACATTTAACATGACTTATGAATTAATTCAACCCGTTTCGAATGATAAAATTATTAGCTTTACCTTTAACGACATACTCTAACTAAATGGGACCTCCACATCTTAGCGTAAGCATGGAATACAATAGATAGTTTGGGAGCAACTAGACGATTTAGACTTCACGAATGACCTAGCCCTTCTACTCATACATACCAACAAATACAGAACGAAGCAACTAGTACAGCAGAAGCCTCTGCATCACTAGGCCTCAACATACACAACGGAAAAAGCAAGATCCTCAAATACAACACCGAGAACACCAACCCAATCATACTTGGTGGAGAAACTCTGGAAGAGGTGCAAACTTCCACGTACATGGGCAGCATCATTCACAAACAAGGAGGATCGGATGCCGACGTAAAGGCAAGGATTGACAAACTAAGGGCATCATCCCTAAAGTTGGAGAACTTATGGAACTCAAAACAATCGTCAACCAGTATCAAAGTTAAAATCTTCAATACGAACGTCAAGACGGTACTGTACGGAGCTAAAATAACAACCATCATCAAAACAGTACAAGTACTTATAAACAACTGTCTACACAAGATACCCAATGTCCGTTGACCGTATACCATCAGCAACAGCCTAATGTGGGAGAACAAACCACCTTCCAGTTGAAGAGGAAATTAGGAAAAGACGTTGGAAGTGAATAGGACATATATTGGGGAAATCATCAAAATGCATCACGAGGCAGGCGCCAACTTGGGATCCTGAAGTGGAAAGTAAAAGGGGGAGACCAAAGAACACACTGAGTAGAAAATTGGAAGCAGACACCAAAAGAATAACATCTGGAAAGGATTTCCCAGGACTGATTTTGATGGAGAATGCTGGTGGCTGCCCATGTTCCTCCACGAGGAGTAACAGGCGTAAATAACTCCAGCTAAAGTTCTTCACGAATGAAGTTTGGGACAACTGTGGCTCTAACACAAGTCCGATGAGTAAGTTGTATGATCTGCTGCTCGCAACTTGAAAAATAGGTACTCAATGAATAACCTGGTCAGTTTTACCATGGAATAGTACCATCTTTTCAAAAACTTGAGCAGAAAAAAACGAAAGACCCGTCATCTTTCCTTAGCTTTTGTTTATTCGGAAACAAACTAAAGTGCTTAAAAGTCCTAGACGTTAGTTAACAAATTTAGGCACCTATAAATTATGACAGTTAGTGGAAGTGTGAATCCTATGTACATTACTAAATTAAGAATGTGTGCCCTTTCATTTAGCAAAAGAATCATGAAGCGGTAATTATTTGAATTTTTGAACTATTAGTAAAGAATCCTTGTCTCATACAAGTAGTATTCGATAGAAAAACTGAAAGCATGAGATTATCAATGATTAAGCAGAAAGTAGAGACACATTCACTGATATGCACTTACATAATCCTGCTAAGTTTAGGTTGATTAAAAGGTTAATGAATGTTGAGATGACGAACTACCTCATTTCAGGGAACTTTTAGACACTAGGTTTCTTCAAAATAGTACCAGGAGATAAAAACAAGACAGAAAATCAATTTTACATACATTTTCATCCACAAGATGATGCCAAAGATACCAAACTTTTTATCGTGCTAAACACAGCTCAAAGTTATTTCATAAATACCACTGATAAATGTCTAATTACTTTCAAATACACGATTTCACACACTTATCAAAAACAAACAAATAAATAGGGAGTTTGAACTAAATCATAAGTATTCCCACCTGGCTTTACCATGCATATAAGAAATGCATTAAATGTGACGTTTGGGGTAAAAATGATGCATAACCATAATCCAATACATACCTAGTCTGCGATCAAATTACTTTAATAGTTTTGATACTATCACATCTTACACCAATAATAAATTAACACATTGCAGTATGATATGCACATAACTATATGTTTAGAAAGATAATGTTGTAATTTTAATATTGTTTTTCGCCTCCTATTTGCTGCAGGATCTGAGTTTGAAAGATATAGATTCAGCAATCACATGGCTAGACTGAATAATTTCTCTTGTAAACTGACTACTGGTAACACAGAATCAGCATCGCTTTCGTCTTGTGAAGTCAAATCAACTTTGGATACATACTTGCATTGCCCGGAGGTGAGAAAAAAACCAATGAACTTAAACCCCATGTCAGAATTCGCACTCAATTCCACGCATGTTTACGGACAAGAGTCGCTTGGAAAAGTAAAATGGCATTCGAAAATATAGAGGCAATTATTATTCAATATATCATAATACACAACTGAGTATCGGAAACATTCTCGAATGATGATATTTAGGACTATTTTAGAAAAAAACTTATGGTGTTACATCTACATAGTCATAACATAAAATAACTAGATACATTTTAAAATACAAGCCATTGTAGATTTTTATTTTAAAAAAAGAAAGATCTTAAGTTTCCCATAAACTTTACTTCCTAATTTCCCGGTTAAGAGTATATAACCTTAGAAGTCACACTAGGATCACGAATCAAAACAGTTTCAACGACTTTTTGTAGAGTTGAGTAGTAAAAATCACGTTTTGTTATGTGTGCATTCTGAGAACGAAATTTGCCACCACATGAGTCAAATAAAAATAGGTTGCGTAGAATGTGAGCCTGTAAACAAATTTCAACGGAATTTCGAACAAAATTTAGTCATTTAGCTTGAAGATTAAGATTTGTCACAACCTTCTAGGACCCACTTGAGATATATATTTTCTAAAAGATAAAGGGAAGTTTGAAAAAAGCAGTAAAAAATTAAACACATCATTTAACCAGGTGATAATACCCTGTATGAATAATTTCGTTACGTTTTTTTTTTGGAGAACACAGAAAATATATTAAGTTAGCTGCAAATTATGGAATCAGATGATGAAACTAGTCTGTGGTTTATCAGCCCTCTAATTTATAGTTTAAATCTTGTAATCCTCTTAGTCTCGTAGTTCAAAATTGTCAAAATGAGAACAGATAGTGCTTCATTTAATATATAACCTACCAAAACAGCTCAAACCATCTGAGTAAACTCAACATAGAAAACGAAATCGACATCTGAAGAAGCACCAAAACGATTTTCGAAAGCTTTGCGATAACGATTGTACCTCAGTTTTTATATAAGGATCAAACCGATGACTCAGATTACAAGTGAATGAAGCTTTGTTACCGTTATCTACTCTCAGCAGTTCCGAAACGTCCCCAATAACTACCGGAGAACACTACTGAAGAATTCTATACCTCCTTATATAGACCATCTAAATTGACTGATTAGGAACAGAATTTCAACTAAGTTGCCTGCAAGAAGAGAGACTCAGATAATTGGGTAGTGAATCCGCAGTTGCCAAGGCAACGAAAAGTTATATAAGCCCACCAAATACCCATCAAAATAGACTGGACGGTAGTAAAAAAACAAACTAGAAAAGCGGTGTATCATCTGTCTACAGATAGGGAGTATAGGTTGGTCATGATAAAGCCGTAATGGCAGGAAGAACAAGTTATTACTTTTGTTACATTAACAACTCAAAACCTATTTGTAATGCAGTTTAGATATATTCTTCATTCTGAATAAATTAAAACAAGTTACTGGATTTAACTCTACATCTCGACCTCCGTTAGCAGTTTCATTTACTACTACTGTCCCGCTAGTGAGCTTGATAAGGTCTCTGAAGCAAAATATTTAATCAAAAATCATAAAAATAACAAGGAAAAAGACGCTTAAGCTAGTAACAAAATAGATGACTTTATGTTTAAGCGAATAGAACTTACAATATAAAAAACCAAGTGTAAAGAAGTTATTGGATGAATAAAGTGAACAAAATAAGTCAAAACTATGGTACAAAACCTAGGATCTCACACATAAATTGTATAAAAACTATCTCCTTAGCTCAAGATTCACACATTAGATGAGTTTAATGTGTTTAAAGTATCAGTACTTGAAGGATTCGTAATAGTTGGCAACTCGATGATCACACTGGATTCATCTGACTTGTTGTTATCCGTCTTTTGTGTTTCATCAGGATCGATCAGACTTGGCCATTCGATGACTTCATTTTGTGCCCTTGAAGAAACACCAGCTTTTGCGAAGCGTTCATTTAGAGCCTTCAGAGCAATGCGCCTAAAGTAATAATCATAATGTGACAGGTAGGAAGGGGGGAAACGAGAATTACACTATAGAATATATGTGAATAAATAATAGTAGTAATGCCTAATAGAAATAAAATAACAAAAAAATAATAAGATTATAACCAGCACGATTTACCCCCCCCCCCGAGTATCTGGAGACCCCAATTCTACTTCTTGTGGACTCGCTGGTGTAGTTATAGCATTGGGTTTAAAAGCAGAGCAGGCTCTGTTAGATTGGATTTCAACAGACAGTCACTTGTGCACCGCCCGACTAAACGGGACAGTAAAGACTCGAGGAAATGGGGATGCAAGACGTTACCTTTTCGTGGTCTCTGCCTAAGCTTCCAGTGATCGCAGATCGGATAAAGTTACAGATGAATTTTATGGGAAGCTATCTAACCTCATCCACAAACCTAAACGCAATAGTGACGAGTGACTTAAATCCTCAAGTAAGTAAAACAAACCAAGCCGAAAGGCACTTAGGTGGATCTTACGGTGTTGCGACTCAGCGAACAGATAATGGAGAACGTCTATTGCAATTATGTTCAAGTAACTCTATTTTTAGCAAAGACCAAGTTTAAACATAACGAGAAACTACCACACGTGGCGACCCCCACAACCGACTCAACGACGAACTCAAATAGATCACACTGCCATCAACCACCGTTGGAGGGGTTCGGCAGAAGAATATCACTCACTCTGAAGAACATGTTTGGACTTGAATCATGATCTGGTTCGAGCACCCTTAGAGTTCAACTGCAATTAGACGTAATCCCATTTGACTGATCTTGATTGTTAATCGTCCCAGTTCATAAGAAACGATAAAAAACCCCTTGTGAAAATCACAGAGAAATAAGTTCAACTAATATAGTGTCTAAAATATTAGCCTCAATAACACTTCGATATTTACCGAGAGCTCGTGAAAACAAAATCCGAGGAAACCAGACTGGTTTTAAACCTGGACGTGGATGCAAAGACTAAATATCCAACCTTCGGTACGTTCTGGAAAAAAAACATACTTTCCGACATCCGATTACTTATATTTCATTACCTCAAGGTGGCATTCGAATAAATTGATCATTAGGTTTTGTGGCAGTGTCTGTTATTGAAAGGCATAGCAAAGAAGTACATTAACCATGTACAGGCTTTCTACTCGAACACTATTGGTCGTCAGAGCTTATGGGAAACTTTCATCGGAATTGATTACTTCAAGTGGTGTTCGTCAGGGTTGTCCGCTCTCCTCAATTTGATTCAACTCTGTCGTAGACATGTTTTTAAAGAATACACTTTCATCATTTTACTATTATTTATTTATTTGAACACATAAATATTGGCACAAGAGTGCGCCACACAAAACAATGAGAATTTCAAGAGAAGGAAAAAGAAAAAAGGCAAGGAGCGTTGAAAAAAGAGAACAACGAAGAGAACGGTGTAAGGCAGTGTAATAATAAAAATGGCAATAATGGGGGAACGGAAAGGTACAACCAGAAGAATTCTTTCAGTTCAGGAATTTACAACCACTTTTTATGAAGAAAGTAAATGAAGGTTAAAACAGCAGGATCGCCACTGGTCTTTATTCTGAGCCATATCTGATAACGTCTCTAGCCACTGTGTAGCACCATCTCTCGGACCCCAGCCAGGGAGTCGAGAAGGACCAACACAAGCCAGTCCTTTGCAGCTTTTCTTCATACCACGACACCATGTCATACACTGACCACCTCTCTGCCTTTTCCAACCAGTCCCAGAGTCAGCAAATAATGCACGACGTTAAATTCTCAGGGACGACATTCGTAGATTATGTCCAAGCCACCGAAGTCGGTGTTTCAAGATGGTGACACCGATTGCATTATCGTCTCTGTGCCCGAACACACGATGTCGAACCTCTGCATTACTACTTGGTGTTGCCACTGGGTATCAGCAATCCTTCGGAGACAACGATGTAGAAGTACTTTGCACTTCGAAGGTGTGAAGCACATACCATACCTACGGACACTGATTGCCAACTGATTAAGTGCGGATCGCATGCCTTGGGCATTATCGCACAGTAAGACAATATCGTCCGCATACTCAAGGTCAAGAAGTCTTTCTCCAGGCAACAGATCCACACCACCATTACTTACATTCATCAGAGCTGTTTCCAGAATATCGTCGATGGCAAAGTTGAAGAGGAATGGTGAGATTGTGCAACCCTGCCTAACCCCACTGCTCGAATGGAACAATGGAGAGAGGTGGTTGTATGCCCTCACTCTGCCTGAGGTGTTTTTATATAGGGCTTTTAGGATGTCAATAAACTTCTCAGGCACACCCTTCTTCAATAGACAACCCCATAGAACAGTCCTGTCCAACGAATCGAAGGCAGCCCTGATATCAATTAGCACTACGCTTGTTGGTCTGTGATAAGTATGACGGTGTTCTAACATTTAGTGGAGGGTGGAGATATGATCAATACATCCTCGACCAGAACGAAACCCAGCCTGCTCCCCGCGAGTCAATCTTTCTCGGGTTTTGAACAACCTACGAAGTATGACGGAAGCCAACAGCTTGGACACAATCGGAAGTAGACTTATCCTCCGATAGTTGTTACAGGAACGACGTGAACCCTTTTTAAAGATAGGGACAACTATCGACTCATTCCATGACGTTGGCACACTCTCTAGTTCCCAAACCTTTGTAAACAACGTCGTCAGTTCCTTAGTCAGAAAGTCACCACCATCTTTAAAAAGAGCCGGAGGTAAGTCATCTGGGCCAGGTGATTTGTAGCGCTTCAAGAGTTGGAGTTCCTTGCGGACTTCCTCCTCGTTTGGTGGACCATTCGTCACCGGCCATGGAGGGCAGGACAGTCTGACCGATGTTGCCGGAGCAGCAGGCCAGTTGAACTGCCCTTCGAAAAATTCTGCCCACCGTCCAAGACGTTGATGGATGTTAGTGATTGGCATCCCATCATCCTCGCAGATTGTTTCACTCACACCAGACTTCTTGCTGCCAGTGGCTCGGATGAGCTGGAAGAGCTTCCGGTAATTACCAGATGCAGCTGCTGCTTCCAGCTCATTAGCACGCTTCGACCACCAGGCTTCTCGGTCCTTACGCAAGCTTTGCCCAATTTCCTTACGTAACATCCTTCGTTTATGGTCAAACTCACGGTCACCCGGAGTAGACCGACGGGCTTCAATGAGTTGTAAGGAACCAGAAGAAACCCAGTGCTTAAAAGCGGGACGTTTCGCAAACCCGCAACTGACTGTTCCCGCCATTTTCATGGCGTCATGCAATTGCAACCAATGCTCATCTATACTTTTCGGTGGAGTGGTAGCTAGCCTAGAGGCTAGCTTGATTCGATACTTATTTGCGACAGAAGTTGCAACCAGCTTGCTAATATCAATCCTTTGCTGGCGGTCACTTCGTTGGCCACTGAAAAGTAAGGTAAGATTGGCGCAGACCAAGGCATGGTCAGAGTCCAGATAGGTACTCCAAAAGGAGCGGCAGTCTTGTACACAACCACGCCATCGGTAGCTGATCGCGATGTGATCAATCTGAGTCCAGGCTTGAGATGCAGAGGGAGGACGCCAGCTGGCACATCGGCGATAACTGTGCCGAAAGTTAGTGCTAGCCAGAAACAGGTTGTGGTCTGTGCACAGTTGCAGTAGACGGTCCCCGTTATATGACCTGCGACCAACGAGTCCACATCGGCCACCTAAATAACTCTCTTCTGTGCCTAGACACCCGACCTGAGCATTCAAGTCTCCGGCTAGTACTACAATATCTGTCGAACGCACTTTCTGGAGAAGAACAGATAACTGGTGGTAAAACTCATCCTTGATTGCATCCGGGCTGCAATCTGTCGAGGCATAGGCGGAGATGACGAAAAGACATCGTTTCTCACGCCGATTTCTTCTCACATTGATGGAACTTTCTAATCTAACAGCACATAACCGACTGTTAATGGGGATTCAATCGACTAGTGCTGCCTCAGCTCTAGCGCTTAGTGCGACACCAACGCCAGCAAGACCAGACGAAGATGCCACAGGGTCCCCGGATAAGCGCACGTAAAACAAGCTTTTCGAAGCGACAGATGGAGATCGAATTTGTAGTACTTCGCCAGAGTCTTGAATACGGGTCTCGGATAGACAACAAACATCAATATTAAGACTTTCCAAAGACATAGCCAGCCCTATCTGTTGTCCGACCTGCATAAATGTGCGAACGTTGAAGACAGCCAGTTTGAATGGTGCACGTGGTTTCAGAAAGACTGCTTCAGTCCTCGTATTCGGTGGTAACATACAATTTTCAACCGGACAGTGACTCGAGAACGTTTAGATACAGTCGGATTTCCACCAAAGACGAGCCGCTGTATAAGTATAAAAGAGGGTGAATAATGTGGAAAATAATAATAATAATAATAATAATAATAATAATAATAATAATAATAATAATAATAATAATAATAATGACAATAATAGTAATAATAATAGTAATAATAATGACAATAATAGTAACGATAATTATTTGAACCGACTGATTGTTTTTCGGAGCGATAAAAGTAGTTGCCAAAGAAATAGAGTTCATCGTTGCTGACACCCAGTGGCAACACCAAGTAGTAATGCAGAGGTTCGGCATCGTGTGTTCGGGCACAGAGACGATAATGCAATCGGTGTCACCATCTTGAAACACCGACTTCGGTGGCTTGGACATAATCTACGAATGTCGTCCCTGAGAATTTAACGTCGTGCATTATTTGCTGACTCTGGGACTGGTTGGAAAAGGCGGAGAGGTGGTCAGTGTATGACATGGTGTCGTGGTATGAAGAAAAGCTGCAAAGGACTGGCTTGTGTTGGTCCTTCTCGACTCCCTGGCTGGGGTCCGAGAGATGGTGCTACACAGTGGCTAGAGACGTTATCAGATATGGCTCAGAATAAAGACCAGTGGCGATCCTGCTGTTTTAACCTTCATTTACTTTCTTCATAAAAAGTGGTTGTAAATTCCTGAACTGAAAGAATT